CAGACACACCGGGACAGACACACCTGGACAGACACACCTGAACAGACACACCTGAACAGACACACCCGGACAGACACACTGGGACAGGCACACCGGGACAGACACACTGGGACAGGCACACCTGGACAGACACACTGGGACAGGCACACCCAGACAGACACACTGGGACAGGCACACCTGGACAGACACACCTGGACAGACACACCGGGACAGGCACACCGGGACAGGCACACCGGGACAGACACACCGGGACAGACACACCTGGACAGACACACCTGGACAGACACACCGGGACAGACACACCTGGACAGACACACCGGGACAGGCACACCTCGACAGGTACACCCAGACAGACAGACCAGGACAGACAGACCGGGACAGACACACCCAGACAGTCACACTCGGACAGACACACTGGGACTCGCACTCCTTTGCTCCAGCACGGACCTACCCCTTCCCCTCCAGGGTTTGGGAGGGCTGGGCGGTGCCTGCCCTGCCTGGCCCCACTGGATCCCCCATGGGATTTCTGGCCCACCGCCAAGGGCTTTGGGACCATCGGTGGTTCTCTCCTCTCTGCAGCCCTGGATCCCAGGGTTTCCAGGATCCTGGACCTGCACCCTGCTGATGCCTGGCAAATCCAGGGTGTGGGGTGTGGGAATGGGGGATTCCTTTGTGGGGCTCAGATGTGGGGGTGCAGACACAGCCCAGCTCCTGCCTTGTCCCCCCTGGTGAACTCATCTGGCAGTGCCCCATTCCCTGTCCCATTCCCTGTGGCAGTGCCCCATTCCCTGTCCCTGTCCCTGTCCCAGTCCCTGTCCCAGTCCCTGTCCTATTCCGTGTCCCAGTCCCTGTCCTATTCCCTGTTCCATTCCCTGTTCCATTCCCTGTCCCATTCCCTGTCCCAGTCCCTGTCCCATTCCCTGCCCTATTCCCTGTTCCATTCCCTGCCCTATTCCCTGTTCCATTCCCTGTCCCATTCCCTGTCCCATTCCCTGTTCCATTCCCTGTTCCAGTCCCTGTTCCATTCCCTGTCCCAGTCCCTGCCCCATTCCCTGCCCCATTCCCTGTTCCATTCCCTGCCCCATTCCCTGCCCCATTCCCTGCCCCATTCCCTGTCCCATTCCCTTCCCCAGTCCCTGTTCCGCTCTCTGCAGCACCCACGTGTGGCTGTGCCGAGAGCTGGTGGCAGCAGGGACGGTGCCATCCATCGCAGCAGTGCCCTGGGATGGCCGGTGAGTGGGGATGGGGCACTCCGGGGCTTTCCCAGCTCTCCTGGGGCCCCCAGCTCCCTCTGCCAGTTCTCCTGCAGAACAGTGCCTGGCTGGGAATGACGATGGAGCTGGGGAAGGGGCTGGAGCCCCAGGAGCGGCTGAGGGAGCTGGGAAAGGGGCTCAGCCTGGAGAAAAGGAGGCTCAGGGGGCCCTTGTGGCTCTGCACAACTCCCTGCAACTCCCTGACAGGAGGGGACAGCCAGGGAGGGTCGGGCTCTGCTCCCAGGGAACACGGACAGGAGGACAAGGGGAAATGGCCTCAAGTCATGCTGGGGAAGTTTAGATTGGATATTAGAGATAATTTCCTCCTGGGAAGAGCTGACAACATCCCTGCCCCATCCTGGCTTGCTGGCACTGCCCCTGCCACGCTGTCCCGACCCTGGGAGCATCAAGGTCAAAATTGACCCTGGTTTAAAATGAAAATAAGGATGATACTGTGGCTTTTCCTATGGGAAGCAGTTGAGGATCTTTCAGGAGAGGGTGGGATGTGTTCAGTGTCAGTGCTTTGGTGCTCCCCAAGTGCTCCTTGATAAGAACAGGAATTGCCAGCCCCTCCAAGGCAGTTCTGATCCAGCAGGATGGGATGGCTCCTTCCCA